AGAATCTATAAGGAAATACATGAGCTTTTTAAGAGACCTCTGTGCTCTTTCCAGATCTATAAAGTTGGTCTTGGTGGCTCCTCGCCAGATTGGGATGCAAAAGGAAATTATCTATTGTGCTAATTTTATTTAATAGAATGCTAGACATTGTTGACCTTAATGATTTAAATACCCAGATTAACTTTCTGATCCGATTTATAACAGCTTCCAACTGCGACTGCCAACTAAGCCTTTGATCAACGATGATGCCGAGGTATTTAGTTTCGTTCACCTTATTATAGCAGACCTGCTTATAGCAGACAATCAAATGAGGTATTTTCAAGGACGATGCGGGCGGTATCGAGGAGCACCGTCTTCTGCATCTGATTATTATTTTATTTAATGTATTTGTAACACATATTATGTGTAAATTTTAGCTTTCTACACCTCCCACACTCCTCCGTGCGTGCAATATGCGAAGAGGGACAAAGTTTTCCTTCACTAACTAGTATATAGGTAATAAAATAAAATTATAACGTAATAGCGGCCTTATTATAATCTTCCCACGTTTTTTTCGGGAAGTAAAGGATGAAAATAGACGATTAGGTGCTGATCTGGCCGAGTTTGATATGTATTTATAAACTCCAAACTTTTTATCTGTTTATTCTTTATTATAGAGAGCGTAGTGGCTGCTTAAAATAATCCATTAGGTACCCCCATATCACCACGAGGTGTCGTAGAAGGCGACAGAGAAATTAAACAGGAGATGGACAGCAGAATTTTTCTGATAACTTATATTAATTGAAAAACCGCAATTGTTAACTCCTGCCAAGCGCGGCGACTATTATGGCAAATATCCCCTATGAGACAATTTATGGGGGAAGCCTATGTTTACCAATGGACTTTTGATAGACTATTTGGGTAGGTACCACCCACTTACCTATTTCTGACGCCAAGTGTCAGTTATTTTTATCATAGAAAAAGGGTGACAAACGAGCACACAGTCCACCTGGTGGTGAGTGGATGCTGTGGCCCGTAGACATCTACATTTATCATGCAGATGCGTTGTCACCCCTGAAAACTAAGATGGAATGCTTCTTTCCAGTAAAAAGGGTCTCCGGTTCTATACACTCACCATACGATACACAGCAGCGTTAAGTTGCTATTTTACGATGGTATTCTGTGAGACTCATTCGTGCTGCAACCACAATATACCTGCAGCATGGCTCTACCACGTAAAAAGTACCTGACCTGCTGAGTTCTGGTCGCAAGGGTATAGAGAGTCAGTATAATTAAATGCTATGAGGCTTTGCATTAAATTCTCAGAGGTGACAACGCTTCTGTAGCCTTGTTTCTTTGAAGTTGGCTGACCATGCATTTTTATATAAAAGTATCGAGGATTGTATTGTTTTTTTGCAACTCAATTTTTTCTCGTCAATTTGGTGGATAATGCTTGTGAATCACTTTGTCATGGAGAAGTTCGTCGACTCCTCTTCTATATTTACACGTGACGTGATGCCTTATCACACAGGGTGCCAACTCTGCGACATGGGCCGTTTATTTTGATAATTCTGTGAAGGTGACGCGTCTTGTTAATATAGACTTACAGGGCGGGCCATCTAACGTTTGGAATTGGAACTACAGGTTATTTTGAGATTGGAAGGTTTCATGACATTTCCGATGTGACAGAAAGTTAGTTTTATGTTGGAAATTTATGAAATGGGTCGCTTTTCGCTTGAACAAAGTTCGGATATTAAAAACTTATTTCCAAAGTGGTGAGTTTTCTACTCAAACTGTAAGAAATTTATGAAAAAAAAAATTGATAAAGAGGATCTGCCAGTAACGCAGTTTGTGGATCAATTTGTGAAGCGAGTTCGTGAAACTGGATCGTTGTTGGATAAAACAACCCGTGTACGTACTCGTCCAGTGCGCTCAACTGAAACATTGCTGTTGTTGATCGTGAACAAACATCAACATCAACTCGTCATCGTCCTCAAGAATTGAACATTTCACGAACTTCTTTGTGAAGTATTTTTCATAAAGATCTCGGTATGAATGCTTACAAAGTCAATTATTGCAAGAGCTGAAGCCGCATGACCGTCCGATGCGTTTTCGGTTTGCTCAATGGGCCGCAAACAGCTTGATCTAAGATGAGCATTTTTACCGAAAAAATCATCTTTTCAGATGAAGTTCGTTTCCACCTCGTAGGATATGTCAATAAGCAAAAGTGTCGTATCTAGGGCTCAGAAAATCCACACGTCATCGTGGAGAAACCAATGCCATTTTGGGCCATTTTTCTTCGAAAATGAGCAAGGAAACGCTGTTACAGTGAATGGCGATCGCTACCGCGCCATGCTAAGCGATATTTTGTTACCCAAAATTGAAGAGGTTGACACAGACGACATTTGGTTTCAACAGGACGGCGCAACGTGCCACACAGCCAACGTAACAATCGATCTTTTGCGCACTGTTTTCGAAAATTACATAATTAGCCGAAATGCTGATGTCAATTTTGCATCTCGAAGCTGCGATTTGATTCCGTTGGATTTTTTTGTGGGGAGCCGTTAAGGACAAGTGTTACGCTAACCATCCAGAGACGATTGACAACTTGAAACATGAAATCGAAGTTACCATTGACGAAATAGAGGCCCAAACAATCGAAAATATACTAAAAAATTGGACTGATCGAATGGGGTTATTGTAAGGCTAGCCGTGACAGTCATTTGAATGATGTTGTCATCTATTCCTAAATTCAGTCTTTCTGTAACTAATCTTCGGTAACTTTGAAAAAATATTAATTAGTTTTTTTTATAGCCGATTTAAATTCCAAATCTTAAATGGCCCCCCACCCTTTCGTATCACATAGTCATAGAGTACAGGAACGTAGCATAGATTTAGGTATCTAGTTTAATGTACATAATATATAATAGTTATAATTATAATTTTTAGATTTAATGTTAAGTTTGCTTAAGTACTAAGTGATTGTAAGTTATAAAATAGGTAATAAATTATGTCGAGCGATTAATTGCTCGCGACTCGACTTAATCTCCGACAGATTATCGGCGCTGCGGTAACTCGGTTACTGTAGCATTATGCCGAATCGATGGCCTTTCGGTTGCTGCCGTCCATTTTGTTTTAATGTTTTGTTAAGTTTTTAATTTTTGTCTTGTAAAAGTAAGTTGTAGCAACGAATAAATATGTTTTTTCTTTCTTTCTTCTTTCTTCATGTTCAAACATGTTTGTTGTTTGAGAAAAAAATACTATGAAGTATGTTTCTTCTTTCCACACAAGACATATTTTTTGTTCTCCTTTTATTTATTTTTGAATAAACTTTACCCACTACACTAATATTTTCTCTTGTATCGTGGACATTGTATCCTGTACAGTTTACATACATAAAATTCACAAGGATAAATATCCAGATCCGGAGCAATTATTTGTAGGCCATACAAATAGTTGTACATGGCATTCGAAAACACGGCCCTTAGCGCTGGAACTCATTGCTAAGCCACTGCAGTCTGAGCAGTACTGAGTCGTCATTGCAAATTACGCGGAAGTTGAAACGTGTTATTTGTTTGAGGTTTGGACGCGCACTGACTTAAATTAACATTTAATTGTCTCTTGTCTATTATTATACTGCAAAAAGCCTTTAAAATGGAGTTCTTGAATTTACGCGGGAGGTTAAAAAAATGTTTTTTGTTTGAAATCTGGACGCGAGCTGTCTTAAATGAATTAAATACTCTAACTATGGAAACTCTTATGCAATGGCATATCTAGACTTATTTTTCAGAGTGGACCTAGCTCCTGAAGAGCGATGGCCGATAAAGCCAAAAATTAATACGTAGTAGAGCCACGCAGCAGCTAAATTGTGGCTGCAGAATGAATGGGTCGACTCAACCGGGGCAGGACCGCGCTCTCACATAATACCGGCGTGAAACAGCAGAATAATGCTTGTGTACGTATGGTGAGTGTAGAGAAACGGATAACCTTTTTACTGGAAACGAGGCATTCCATCTTAGTTCTCAGGGGTGACAACGCATCTGCATTTTGATTTCTAATGAATAAAACATTTCCCCGAGAACTTTTTCTTTTATATAGGATAGGGTGATAAACGAGCACACAGTCCACCTGATGGTAAGTGGTTGCTGTGACCTATAGAAATCTATATTTATCTTCAATAAAGAATCAAAATGCAGATACGTTGTCACCTGTGAGGACTGAGATGTAATGCCTCGTTTCCAGTAAAAAGGGTCTCCGGTTCTCTACACTCACCATACGAAACACGGCAGTGTTAAGTTGCTATTTCACGCTGGTATTCTGTGAGAGCGTGGTCTTTCCCCGGTCGAGTCGACCAATTCGTGCTACAACTATACTACTAATCAAAAAAAAAAGAATTAAGATGAATATTGAGTAAAAAGTGTTTGTTCACTTTTTTTTTTGCTTTTTTCACTCGTTGTTTTGGTAAACCGACATTATCGAAGGCGGCGACATTTCAACACTATCGCAAAGATAACGCAGCATTACGCTATCGCAAATAATTCACCGATAGCCAAGCGATCTGTTGAATACTTATCGAAAATACACATCCTCGCTCATTCGGAGTGTTTGGGGCCGGGGAAAAATTATCGACACCGATCAAACTCTTTAACTGTTTATTATCCCTTACATTTTTTTTTATAGAATAAAGGTGACAAACGAGCACGCAGTCCACCTGATGATAAGTGGATGCTGTGTTTCCTAGATATCTACATCTTCTTAATATTATATCTTGATTAAAAATCAAAATTCAGATGCGCTGCCACCCCTGAGGTCTAAGATGAAATGTCACATTTCCAGTAAAAAGGGTCTCCGGTTCTCTACACTCACAATAGCAAACACAGCAGCGCGTGGTCCCGGTCGAGTCGATTCGTTAGTTCTACAACAATAATGTAGCTGCAGCGTGGCTCTACCACGTAGACAAATATATTAACTGTAATTACAAGACGTTTAAAATTTTATTGTGTGTGTGTTTTCTGATGCAGGTGTTCTGCGATATCGTGGTGAGGGATGGTGAGATGGTGTGTGTCGAGCTGGTGGCTCGGGGGCGTGGAGACGCGGCCTGCGCTGTCATATTCCTCGGCTCCATCCGATACGACGCGCTCACCAGGGTCTACGACGCAAGGGTGAGTGTACATGTTTTTCTTTTATATACACATCCCCAGTAAAGACTTCAATGTATAATACTACGTGCTCTGCGGTACTAATATATTGTACACTAGGTTACGGTTAATTCTCCGTAACTTCTTTGTCGAATGCGAGCGGCCGAGAAAACTAGTTCTTTGTTTCCGACAATCTAACATTAATTTTGTTAGTGACACTAAGTAAACACTGTCATTATTTATGTGCGTACTTTGGCTACGTGTTTTGAAGTTTATTTTAGACTGGCGATCCGCCCAGGCTTCGCACGGGTGATTTCTGGATCTCGACAATCTACCGGGTCCAAATGTTAATATGAATCTAAACCATCTAGGGACCAAATCAGACACACACAAAAAAGTCATCAAAATCTGTCGAGCCGTTTTTGAGTTTTATTGAGACTAACGGACGTCAGTCGATTTTTATATTTATATTATATAGAGATAAGTGTGTTGCTTTATTCTGTATTTGCCTTAATGGCATGTTTTCACGTTGATTAGTGTGAGAGCAGGTGATTAGTACAGGTGCTTAGTAATTAGGAGTAATCACGTGTGGACAGCGATTGATTACTAACCTGCGTAGTAAAGTGATTAGAAGCGTGTTCTATTTTTTTTTGCGAGTAGACTGTGAGTATCCACGCCGTACGCGCCATCCCTTCGCCCTTACTCGCAGCATGCCTGCCACCAAACATATCTGGACAGCAGCGTTTAGTGTTTAGCGTTTAGCGTCGGACGCTCGCTTGTGTTGTAAAAATGGCAAAGTGGACCGAAGACATAACCTAAATTTGTGCAGAAGTATCTAAAACATGAATGTCTTTACAATAGTAAATACCCTAAAATTTTAATATTTCTTTCAGTATTTCTTGCAATTGCAAGCGCGCTTCTTGAGGTGCCTCCATACATGTTGGTCGACGGCTAACAACTGAATTTACTAAACACAGCCGCTAATCTGAATTGAACACTACTCACACTACACACCTGCACTAATCAACCGCAGTTACTAATCACCTGCAATCGTACTAATCAAAGTGAATACAGGCCTCTAAAAACAGTACTTAACTGTCGTAAATGAAAATACAACTGCGTGACGCTGGCGCGTATTTACCGTGCCAGCTACCCGCCCGAGCGAGCCGCAGCTGTGACACAGTACTTGTTCTAACATGTCGGTCTTTAATACATAGAAGTGTATGTTATCGCGTGTGTTGTGGTTGAAACCTAAGTTCCCCATTCCAGGAGGTTCTAAAGTATTCAGGCGTTTATACAGACTTCAAAAAAGGAAGAGGTTCTCAATTCCACTGTATCTTTTAAGTGTATTATCTCAGAACTTTTTTCTGGATGAACCGATTTTGATGATTCTTTTTTTATTTGAAAGCTGGTGCTTCTCATGTGGTCCCATATAGACTTGATCAAGATCTGACCAGTAGTTTTTGAGTGATCCTTAATAATGCCTATTTAATTGACTTCGACTACATTGCTGACGTACTCATTTTATTTATATAGAAGTCGGTTGTACCTACATATTTTTTCGTTTTACCACTTGTATCACTCTAAAAATGATTTCAATCCTGACTATCTTTTGTAATAACTAACGACGAGGAAAACATCTAGTATTACTCTCACCCCCAATCTATCTCCGTCATATTATTTATTGTACATATATGATACGAGTATAATGATTCTCTTATGATTTTGTTCAACAACTACTTTGTTTCCTTACAACATTTATTTGTTTACCGTGACTAAACTACAAAAAAATTCCTCAAACAGCAAAACTCAATCCATTGTCTGACAGTTAAATCAATTTCACCATAGTTGTAATACCCCGTTCCCCTTAGCGGAAGTCGTCACACCCCTGGCGCACGACCGAATTTTCTGTAATTACTTTGATAGGTATGTATTTGGTACGCATCATACTCGTATAGCCAAATATTATTCAAAACAACGACAGTTTAACCTCCCTTAACCCGGTTACTTAATCAAGGTTCTAATTTTAAAATGTCTGTAGAATAGAGCGTAAACACTTCTACTAATATGCGTAATAATTTTTAAAATAATGATAATTTACTCCAGACCGATTTTCGGTCACGGCGGCCGGTCTCGACGGACACTAGCCATCTGCGCAGGACCGAATTATAGATGCCGAGCTGTATGCGTAAGCTCATGTGCACTCTCTATTCCTTTAGTCTCATAGTCCGATCCGACACGACCGGAGATCGGGGTGAAACACCGCCAACTTACTGACTCCAGGTTGTTACTGAGAATTTCTTGACAGATAAACTGATTTTTGACCGACCCGGGATTTGAACTCAGTGCCTCACGATCACCATTCACATACAATTTGCAAATAAGAAGTTAGTTAAATTAAAAAAAAATTACGGTCGAGTTTCCTGAAGTAAAGCTATTTTTCTATACGTTTGAATACCGATTCTGATAATGCACTTAACGGGAATATTATTATATTAAACGCATATATATTATACATACATAATTACATCTACACTTATACTATTATAAAGAGGAAAGATTTGTTTGTTTGTTTGAATTGAATAGGCTCCGAAACTACTAGACCAATTTGAAAAATTCTTTCACCATTAGAATCCTACATTATCCCTGATGAACATAGGCTATGTAATATTTTCAAAAAAGTTAGGGATCCGTATGAAAACTTTGTTAATGTAACCCAAGGTGTCAAAAAAATACCAAAAAGAATCCTTATATCGCGTACGCTGCGGAAACTATTGATAATAGAGCAAAGTAATGTACGTCAGTTTTATAGAGGATATCAATATCTACAAAAAAGTGTGCGATACCATGTGTTTAACTATTACAGTTCTGTCACAATAACTACTTTTTCATGTTAAAATGTGAAATAGTAACGCCGGTACAAAATAGGCCACATTATTCGTATCATTACCTGTATCATGCATAACCACCAATTACGTTAACCATGTAAGTTTAGTAACATATTTCACTTTTTAAATCTTTATTAATTCAGCAACCGTCCGTCGTGATGTCTCTCTCGAATTTCGCATGGCAAGGCGCAGACGCGTGATATACGCGGGTGAAACCGCGGGGCACAGCTAGTATAATATATATATGCGTATATTATAATATGTAATTATATTTCTGTACGTGGTAGAGCCATGCTGCAGCTGTATTAGTAGTATAGTTGTAGCACGAATGGGTCGGCTCGACCGGGGAAGGACCACGCTCTCACAGAATACCAGCGAAAAATGGCAGCTTGACACTGCTGTGTTTCGTATGGTGAGTGTAGAGAACCGGAGACCCATTTTACTGGAAACGACGCATCTGCATTTTGATTCTTTATTGAGGATAAATGTAGATGTCAATGGGTCACAGCAACCACTTACCATCAGGTGGACTGTGTGCTCGTTTGTCACCCTATCCTATAAAAAAAATTAAATATGATATATGTTAGTGTGTATGTACTTTGTGTATATATTTGTAAACCAATGATTAATGTAAACTTTTAACATATGCATTATGTACATTAAGTAAAATGTTTCGCTCTTGCCAACATTTGTCTTTGTCACCCAGGGTTGACTGGCAGAGAATGCCACATGGCGTTAAGTCCGCCCTATGTACCCTTAGCCTTAATGTATTACAATTAAACTTTTAAAGAAATAAATGAATTATATAGTTAAGTTATTAGAAATTAGAAAATGTATACAAGAATCAAAAAATAATACATGAAATATGGTAACACTATCAACACATAACGTCGATAGTATGGTAAACAGACGGTGTATTTCACAGAAAACACATAATATTTCCCACTTTATCGATTCAAATTGTTTTGCAGACGTGTTCGAAACGCGCCGGCGATGTATAAACGAGGCTGAATGTTTTACTAACCTCAATTTAAAAAAAATTGCGCAGAGGCGAGAAGTTTGGAGCTAAATTGTTAAATACATTTACCGAAAGTAATGCACGGATAAATAATTGTGAATTGTAATCACGTTGAAAGCTATATAGATAAGACATTTTGAATTGTAACACTGTGTAATGGCGGTGTGAGATTATCCACTACCCCGTATCGTCCCGTGGGTGTCGTCAGAGTCGACCCAGGGAAATAAACTGGGAGATGGGTGGCAGCGTCTTCCTCATAGCAACTAGAAAATAAAATTGCGGACCGCTTATCAGGCAATCTATGGCTAGAACTATGTTCAGCAGTGGCCTTTAATAGGATGTAATGATGATGACGATGATGATGATGAAATATTGTAATAACATTTGGTTAAAAGTATTGGAACCTCTGATAACTTCGGCAATGCTATAATTGATGGCTCCATGGTGGCAGTGGCTTAGCAATGAGTTACGGCTCTGAGAGCGGCTTGAACCATTCGGTGATAGCTGCCAATTTACACCTTCGCGATCCCTGAGACGTCACTGAACAGTTGTCGTCTGGTCGTCATAATGAAGTCAATCTCATTTTTGTCGTACCGTTGGGGCTCGACCAGGTCAACTTCCTGTGGGGCCACTCCTGGAAGAACGAGTTCATCATAAAGAGTCCCTCTTTCTACATAAAGTTGGCCAGCTGCTGGCACCTTGAGTTCCGTTGCCCTATTCGAAATTGCCCTACCTTTAGCTAATCGTTCTCTCTTGTGCCTATTTTTGCGTTGAAGTCTCCCATTAATACCGTATAGTGGGTTTTGGAGGAATGCATGGCTCTAGATATATCCTCATACATTTCCTCCACCTCCTCATCGGGATGTGCCGAGGTTGGTGCGTAAACCTGTATGACCTTCAGCGAATACCATTGGGTGATTCTGAATATAAGGTAGCCAATCTTTACAACGTTGTTAACGAGAGACTTGTGGACGATAAATCCGACACCTCCTTGGGACAGATGGTCGCCCTCCCGGTGATAGAACATATTCGGGGATTACCGCGTCCTCCCCCTCTCTTCGGACTTTGGATAATCCTATAATATTCCAGCGCAACTTGTCTATCTCTTCTTCCAGCTA